GTGTGTGTGTGTGTGTGCGCTGCTGTCACGCTAATCAAGTCAAAATGGTTTGGAGGACGCAACAGCCAAATTTTACGAGCTAACATGATGCTGGTTTGAATTTCGCTCACATACATAACTGTTGTCATAGTGACTGTGAGGACAAGATGCACTATTCATTCATATAAATATCCAACTAAAAAAGTCCCATTCAATCACAACTTGGCCATATGCTAAAAGACAATTTGTTATATTAATTAATAACATCTGATGGGCTCCTGTTTCTATGTTTCTATTGACGAACAACTTCTTTCAAGCCAATTTGAGAAGTAAACTCCAGTTTGTGTACGCGCTTTCTCCAGATGCCTGGTTGACGCATGCAGGAGGCAGAACACGATGTATAAATTCCACTTCTGAGATCAGGTGCTTTTGTTATCAACACTGGCATCAGCCCTTACCAAAACCTCTCAATTCTCGTCATTCCCAGGGTTTGAAAAACAAAGCAACAACAGAAAAGTTTTTTTGTTTTAAAGCAGACTGGTGTCTTTCTTTCTCTAGTTGTTTGACTTTCAAATAAGATGTTTACACCATGGGCAGCCATTTCTATAACATCAGCAGGGGTTCATCACAGCTTTCTGTAGGTTGGAGAGGGACAGTGAGATATGGCTGATAGAAAATAGCAGCTGAGGAGGGATTTGCTCACTTGCCTGACAAACCTGATAGACAGTAAACAGATGTAGTTTTGATTTTTATCAGTTGGAGCCTCTTGCCTGTCTGCCAATACATTTAATCCATCTATGAGCCGCATTACAGCACTGGTCTGAAGTCTGCTATACAATCTGTGCATCTGTGTTATCAAAGGCAGGATTCCACTGCACTGCGTATCTACTATAGGACAGGGATGAATGAGGAGGAAAATGAGATGGAATTTAAATTCAAACATGCAAAATGTGGAGGGAATCAACCAAGAAATAACAGACTTATACCTTTCTAAGGTCATGGGAAAATGTCTACAATATACACTATAAGTACATTATACAGTATATCCAACAAAAGCAATATGACTGTTTGCATGTGGAGGACAGAAATCAGCTGAAGTAACTAAGCACATTTTAGAGAAACCTATTTGTGGTCAGGGGCAGCTATGAAACTACAGGAAATTGCACCTACTGGGCAGAGTTATCAAAGTTGTGTTGGAATTTGATATCATCACAGAGGAGCAGACAGACTGACTTCTAGGGAGCGTGAGAGTCAGGCTGATGTGTGTGAGCGTTTTGAGGGGAGAGTTGTTCGTTAAAATCATTGATGGTCCCACAACTGATCCAACCACAACTATGTTTTCAACATATTCTGACATTTAGCAAAACATTTTGAGTTGATCAAAATGTTGGGGTAACAGAATAGACAAATACCTTTGGTGTTAAGTGAATATGAAAAAAACTTCCCAGTCACACCATCAGCTAATCCAATAATGGATTTTGGGTTGTGGCCAATATGCTGTTCGATCAAAACATTATTTCTGGTGATTGTCGTTGCTCTTTGAATCCAGTGTCTGCTGCTGGCTGCTTGAGTGTGTGGATGCTGTAAATCTGGCCAGCTCATTAGAATTGACAGAGGGAATGCTTGCAACCCACCTGCTCCCCTTCACCCTCTTTATGACTCTGCAAATTAAAATGACTTTTATTCACACTCCACCCCCTCTCTCCACAATGTACTGCTCACTTTGCCACTCACATTGCTTCATCTGCTAAGTGTTGAGTTGTGTCAGTCCCATATTGATACAACTCTGCCCATAACTATTCTGCTGTTTAAATCTCATCATTTGAAGCCTTTGTCTGTCTGTCATCGTTCTTATTTTACTTTAACTATCCTGTCATCCTGTATACCCATCAACCTCTCCAATCTTTTTCTCTGCGCACTAAAGTTCAGCAGCACTATCTAGTAGCGCTGATGGGCCTCTAACCCCCAGTTACTGGGGCATGTCCAGTGAGTGACAGCATGATGGAGTGATGTCACAGCATGTTTGCTTCGCCCGTTGGAGGTCAGTTAGTGTCACAGAGGTAATGAGGCCATAAAAATGCAGGTAACGCAAGTTGTGGTAAACAAGATAAGGTGGACATAAGGGTAGAGGAAGGGGACAGGGTACAATGAGGAAGAATAAGAATGAGCATAGTTCCCACACAGCTTTAAGTGGAGGAGGTGCAAGGCTTTAATGAAGAGCTTTCTTGTACAGAATGGACTGTGCCGCATTGTTATTACAACACAGTCATAAAAATATGAATGAATTCTGCGGCTTCTCATTTATCAAGTAAGGCACACAAACAAATAAGTTCATTGAGATTTGTGATAAAAGACATCCCACCTGCATTAGTCTCACACTGTGCTCACAAACTCTGCATAATTAATTATGACTACGTTACGTCTCATTGTTACAGGATGCAGCTGCTTTCAGTGTAAAGAAATGCTGGTGAATTACACTCACAGCTGTGTGTAGTGTTTGAGAGAATCAGATCTATTACCACATTCCACTGCCTCAAATAAAAAAGCTTACATTTTATAAGCACTGAGAGAGAGCAGGAGTGACATAAGCAGTAATTCAAGGAAACTAGCAATATGTGAGTGACTTAGGGTCAAATACAGCTCAGTTTAATGGCTTTCTGGGGGCTAAACTGAAGCCCATTGTTTGCAGAGCTTGGAAAATCTGTATGTGGACTATAAGTGAGTCCCACACGACTGAGCCATGGTAGCACTGGCCTGAGAAAACCTTCCCTGGTGGGTGGTCTAAACAGCCTCGTCCAAACAGTCCTCCTTTCTCCCATTTATTTGCCTGACTTTATGGATTGAGAAGAGAAAAAGCCAGTGGCTTTGAAGATTTGGTGAAGACTCAGAAAGGGGTTTGTGCTCAATATATACACAACAAGATATGTGGACGTGTGTGTTTGTGTGTGTGGATTTCAGCCCCTGTTTGAAGTCCTCCACTCTAGCAATTACTTCATATCAAGGATTAGATGAGCGAGAGGGCAAAGAGGAGAGGGAACGATGGAAATAAGTGAGAGCTGAGGAGGGAGGTAGAAGATTCACAGAGAGGACAGAGAAGCAGCAGAAACGAAGAGGAGAAAAGAGATTGAGGTCTCCACTGCAGTGAGTGTTTTTCTTCCCTATAAAAGGAGTCTGTGCACGCTGAACACAAGCTGGAAGACAACTCCTCAAATCGTGGGAAGATCACAACAGCAGAAAAAGCAACTATTTCCAGGGCAGCAGAGACCAAAAAGCAATATGAAAAGTTGATGATCACTAGTAGTCACCATGCAGTTACTACTGTTGCAAAAGTCAACATTGGGAGGCATTTAATACATGCCTTTCAGAAGCAAATGCCTTTTGCCCAAAACCCATTGTAGTAGATTGTTTGGAGAGGAAAAGCCCCGTCCAATATATTTTTGATTTCCTTTTTTTAGAATTATGAGCAGAAAGAGGTGGGGTACATTTATTAAAAGTGCATCCCAACCTCTGATTCAGACATTTTACTATTACCTTGAATTAATCTGGTTAACAATAACTGTCATCCTTACCTCTGGGATGTGGACGGTGTAAGGCTGCCCATGGAAGGTTGGTGAATTATCATTCACGTCTCCAATCTGGATGTTTACCGTGTCTTTGACAACCTGAGGGAAGAGACACCAAGATAGAGGTGATCCAAGGCCACCTCCACCAGTTACCTGACAGAGCACCGTAATCACTGAAAATGTGTAATAGCCACACCAAGCCGAGATTCAAACTGAAAGAAAACAGGACAAGTGTGTGACAGATTACCCACAGGGGGAGAGTAGGTTGAATGTCAGGATATTTCAGCAACTAAACTGTGTGGAGTGAGACAGGTGTCAGAATGATTACATGTGAGAAACAAGAGAAATAAGGGTGAGAATGAAAGCAAGCGACTCAAAGAGAGATGGACTGAGACAGAAAGTCTCAGTGTGACGTGTGGTCGGGCTATATCCAGGTGTCAGAGTGTGACGGGAGGTGTCATAACTGCGATCACAGTGCAAATCTGTCTCTTACCTCTTGAATGTCACTCACGTAGAACTCGACCTGCATCTCTGACTTGGTCTGCGGAGACACATCATCCCAAACTTTGCATGAACAGCAGAAAATCAGAACAACACAGAAATGCCACACTGGCCTCACAGCCCCTTTTCATCATTTGATTATTTAGTTTCTACCCTTTTCAAAAAATGGACTTTTCTTGTGTATAGTGTTTTTGTTTTGGTAATATGTAAGCGAGTGCAGTAGCTTGTCAGTATGAGTGTTTCTTCACTGCTCTTACTTCACGGTCGAGCTGCTGCCGAAGCCAGACAACGCCATTGTCTTGGTTCACAGAGAAATACTTCATGGCCTCTTCTCCCGAAACCCCGTACATTAGGGGCTCCCCCTCAGGATCAGTTGCCTTCAGCTGGGCCACTGATGAACCTGCCAGACACAGAGTCAAAGGTCAGAGGTCCTACAGGGTCAAAGGCCACCATGTCTGACAAGAATCTGTTATGTGACCTTGTATTTATGAACTTATGGAGCAACATATTGAGAGAGCTAACACTGTTACTGCACAGCCACTCAAATGCAATATTTTCTCCAGGCTCACTAATCCTAGTGAGCCACATAAAAAGATATATCAGCCTCATAAAAACACATTACACACACTACATTTCTTACATTTAGGAACTTGTATTGAATAAAACCTTTTGTCACTGCAAATGCCACTTGTGCCAATGGTTGGTTCTTAAATGAAATGCCAGTAATTGACTACTCAGAATTCACAATTGAATTATTTGAAGTGTATAAGGATAAACTAATATACACATATGGAGAAGATAACAGATGTGCAGTAATGGAAGATTTTCACAGGTGTCAGAGGACTTTCCCAAAGCTCCTCTTTCACAAAACAATTAGAAAGAGAGATGTCATAAATATAACAACATGCAATAACAGAAACACACATCATCCTCAAAGTGTGAACTATCATGTTGAGGATAAAAACAGTCTAAAAACACAAAAGCATAGCACATTCTAACAGTCGCATGTCAAAGGGTTGAGGAGTCAAGTGTTTTTAATTGGAGCAGCAGAGGTTCACAGGATTCATTCATCACAGACACTAGAGCTCAGACAGGCTGGCTAATCAAAGGCAGAGGTGAAGTGGCATCAGGCTGGCTAATCCAACACTTTGGACAGATGTGTCGAGAAGGGTGAGGCTAAGGTTATAGGAGCGGCATAGAGGACAGCATCAAGACCCAGCGACCTACAGGGACAAGGCTCATTACTGGCCAGGGTGAAACTGCTCGAGCAGGGTACTGTAAAGGACTGAGGGGAAGAATTGGTATAATCGCACATAATGGATGTTGTAAATATATATATTCTCTTTTACATTCACAGAAGAGTAACATTCAGATGGCATAACTATCGACGTACATCCGTAAACCCTGACTCTAAGGGCGGTTTTACACTTGAAAGTCTGGACCAAGGCCCAAACCAAGGTTTGCGCCCTTGTAACGTTGTTTACATTTGAGCCACTCATTTTTGGTTTTACATTGTAATTTAGGGAGTTAATTGATCGGTTGGTAGATGGGCATGGGTTTTAATTCGGCTATTGTATTTGCTAACATTTTGGAATAAAGGGCATAGAAAAAAAGTAGTCTTTCCCTTTGAAGGGAGAAAATGTATGAATCTTTTCATGCCAAAAATGTTGTTGCCACTGGAATGTCATTATAGTATAACTATCAGCAAAATGAGCATCCTCCTTCTGCTGCTTTTTCTTCCTCTAGTGTTTAATGTCCCACTTCCTGCAATTGATCTGGAAGTCCAAACTATCCCCCAAAAATTATGTTTTTATACTGCAAATGATCAGAACCATGTTTCTCATTTGCTCTAGACAAAGACCACCTTTTTTGGTACATTTTGGTCAGTTGGTCCAGACAGTAGACTGAGGCACGTTTAACACCTGCTAGATAGTGTTGTGGTTGGCTGTAAACATTTTCTTTAAAAGTCTGCAAGTATGGACGCCGTCCATGGCGCTGAACTATCCTGAATGTCATGGAAGGGGTTGAAAAAGTTATAAAAGGCAAAAGAGCACCTGCTCAAAAATGAACACAACCATAATTTTCCCTTATTCAATTATTAATAATAATAATGATAACTATAAACCCAAATGTAAGTCATGACCTTTTCCCTTATACCAAGTTTATATAGAGAATTTGAATAAGATTTTCTGTGTTTCGGATAATGATGAACACAAGTAAAGCATAGTAGGTGAGGCTTCAGCTCTACCATACACCCTTAAAAGATATGAGAGGATTTTGAAGATAAGCACATGAGTAAGAGAGTAAATGAACAGATCATTAACACATGCAATGATTGCAGGTATACACAAACACACACACACGCTCTCTCTCTCTCCCTCCCTTCAGGAACTCGTCAGACAACAGGGGTGAAGCCAAACTAAATCAAGCCTGTCAGTTGCGCTCCAAACTGCTAAACACAACGACCAATTAGGCTTCACAATCACACACCCCTCTCGTATTATTAATACACCCCATTTTCCTATGAAAGGGTGGAAAAAATGACTAATTAATATAACGATTTATGAACCTCTCTCATTGCGTCTAATGAGATTTATGCAAATTCAGCTGCCTTCAATATGAGTTATAATTTGGTTGAAGACAGTGCAAATTAAGCATTTTACCTCATAGTCATCAATAATAACAGATTTTTTTTTCCTCCTTCTGGCCCTTTCCACGGTGGAGGAATTGTCTACTCCATGTGTGCAGACATACATTTGAGTGAAGGAATAAATGGTCATTTTAGACTAAACACTATATATGAGAGCCACAGTCTTGCAGAAGATTAACTCCAACTCTGGAAAAGACAAAGTCATGAGTTAGACTGGACCAAACAATAGTTTATCTACACCAGCCAATCAGAGTGCAACTGTGACTTTAGATATTTTTTTTAGTGATTAATTACCACAGGTTTCATTTAAGAATTATTTTAACCTGAGGGTAATTACCATAAGAAGAGTCAAATTGATGAAAAGATGTAAATACATTTGGAAATTTGACCTTTATGTGTGTGTGTATATACACACATTTTATTGTCATGTTAAAACTGTGGGTCCAAATCTGTTTTGGACTCTGCAGAAGTTCAGGCTCACAACATCTCACCATCATTCAGTACTCAATTTAATCTTATGATTAAAACTAGGATTTGGTTTTGGGCAGCACATTTTAGTTTTAGAGTAAGAATTTGGAATTTGGGGAAAATGTAAGATTCAGGTAAACATAAGGGCACAAAGTGCTGAGTGTGAGTGTGTGTCCTCTCATGCTTATCTGTAACTCTGTGACACGAAGCCCTTTCCCCTGACAAATGATACTATTTAGCAGCAAGTGATGCCAGTATTACTGTTATGAATGATACAGTGCATATTAACATTGCCCCTCCCCTTCTCCTCTACTTTGCACCACTGCGCTCATGACAAGAGCGATGGGCCCCAGGAATCATCTCTCTACCTCAGGGTGTTCTCTCCAATTGTCCCTCGAACTTCTTACTCTCGCAGTAAACTCAAACACTGCATCCTTGAAGATACCTCTGTATTCAGACAGTAAGGTCAAACCAGAGTGAAACAAAAGCAGAGAGATCGTAGAGTGAGTGGCAAAGCTGAATGAGAGTACATTTTAAACTACTATCATCCCCTTGTGGTTGTATGTCTCCACCATCAGTGGATAAAATATGATCACAACTTTCCCTTCTGTTCCAGAGTTATCATGTCAGGGTTTAGGCATGTTTACACAAGTTAAATGTGAGACTTCAGGCCACAATTAATGAAATTTAAGATCTTTGTCAAGTAGGACAAATGTCAGAATCCCAGAATTACTGACACTTACCCATACTTGAAGATAAAGTTTAATAGACCCCTGGTAAACCTTGTATGTTGAATAGTCACCAGAAAGAAGTTTTTGCAGATCATCACGATGTCACAGTGAAGTTTACCTCTGACCTTTTGGATATAAAAAAATAGCCACTACTGAAATGCGCTCATGAGACTGCAGGGACAAACCGGTGGCTAGAGATGAAATTTGTTAGAAGAAGTTAATAAAAGCACTTAATTTCCAAAAACACTGAAGATAAATGTAGTTCACAATTGCAAGGCTGAAAAACATAATGTTATGCCATAAAACATAACATGACAAAGCCTGGAGAGGCAGACGCCTGAAAGTGAGGAGGAGAAGAAGAAAAGTAAAAAGACTAGCTAACCCTCCACACAGCAGCAGCCACATGCTTTTTTTCAGCACAACCTTTTAGGAAAGGCATGGGGGCCAATGGGGGCGCTAAATCAGTCGCTGGAAGACATTAATCCCTGCTGGATCAATAGGAGTCGCGCGTGTTAGACGAGGACTAGGCTCAGCCCTGCCCTGGGGCCTCGGGCTTGAGAAAGAACAGGGGCTATAGGCCAAAGCCCTGTTTATTATGTTGGTGACATCTCCAGACCTCTCGTTCATCCGAGCACTGATTCAGGGGGACAGGCATTGTCAGGTCTGCAATTTCAGGCATGTTGTGAATTATAGCTTTGGATTTTATGGTACACAGAGGCTTAATGGGTATATGGGCAGTGTTCAGTACGCTGTCAAGCAAAGCATTATTCGAAAAAAAACAAAAAACCGAAGCCACCTCAAGACAAAGACTGGCTGAGAGAATCTTGATCTTTACCTGCTCTTGATAAATACTTGATGAATTGTCTTGAGAAGGGCTCAGGCTCGACTCGATGAGTCAGTGCGGTGCCACTCATGTTACCACACTGTCTATCCACTGACAAAGAGAGCCTTCAAACACATCAGCAACGCCAAGCTGAAGCCATGCTGCCTCACATCAATCACTCCCATCAAAAATTCACACAGGCAATACTGTCCTCTGCTAACTGGAATCATGAGCTCACTCAATACAGTGTATTTTGTTCCCTACTTTAAAGTGGATTGTCAAGTGAAGAGAAATGTAAAAGTACACACTCTGTGATGAGAAGCAGTAATGGAAAGCCTTCACATCTGTCACAGATGAGTTGTGATTATGAGACTGACTCTGACTGACTATACGTTTCAGCATCTGATCCATTAGGTTTGGGATAACAGGCACACTGCTAAAGAGTGAGCACGCAAATCCTCGTCCTGCTAATTGACCGTGTGCAATAACAGGCTGGTTCCATTTGTGTTGTCGTGTGAAGTGTTATGGCATCTGTTTGAATCCCTGCACGTAAAGCTTGATGCAGTCAAACAGGTTGACAATGGTGCATCATCCATGCAATTTAAGTTTGTTACAGTGAGAAACAGGATAATAGCCGTTAAAGTTGTTCATCACAGTGAAAACATCAAATTCATTTATTATTTTAATATATTTTTTATATATTTATTATCTATTAAGATACAAGTTGG